GCACCACACGGTGTGGGACATCCCTTTGGGCAGCCTGGGCCAGCTGTTCTGGCCATGTCCCCTCCCATCTCCTGGGGCGCCCCCAGCCTCCTCGCTGGCCGGGCAGCACCAGGAGCAGGAAAGGCCTTGGCTCTGTGTGAGCACTGCTCTGCAGCAACTGAAACATCCCCCTGTTATCAGCATTGTTCTCATCCTAAATCCAAAGCTCTTCACCATACCAACTGCTAGGAAGAACATTAACTCTATCCCAGCCAAAACCTCATGAACTGGTACATGTGGTTATTCTTTTAATAAGGCTACATTGAAAAACTAGTGCTAGCACAAATGAATGGAAGGGGTGGGAAAACAACCACACACAAGGAAAAGGGCGGGCCTGCAGCATATGAATTAAATAGACATAAGCTTCACTTCAATCACCCTGTTAAGGTATGATTTGTTGTTATTTTTGGGCCTATTTAATAGGTCACTATCATTGAGAAAGGAAGGACTCACTTATTTCCTTCCTCACCTTTTCTTTCCTTTCTCTTGTTTATTTTCTTCCTCTGCCCTCCTTACTTTCTCTCTTTCCCATCTTTCAGCAGTTCTGGCATTTCTTACAGAATAAACCTATTCTTGTCATTTATCTAGGATAAATAGTGAACCCATTTAGTAACGTAACAGAAGAGAGGTAAAAGAAGATCAAGATTTGGCATCAGTATGTTTTTAGAATGCTTCTAGCAATAATGTGAAACTCCACCCTTAGTAACATTCAGTAGGCTTCCTCCTTTGCTGAGGACTGTGTGGTGATTGGACTTCAGCTAGTCACTGCTGGGCAAGTTACAGTTACCTACTAACTTGTGAAATTGGGTTGGCGTTTATTTGGTATCATAAGTTTGTTGGAAGACATTTTCATTCAAAAATAAAATTAAGATGCGCTTAGACACAGTTTTTTGTGCTATAATGACCTGTTGGAGGAGGTGCTAGTCCATGTTTAATGACAAATTTAGGAGAAGCAAATGCTTTAGCTGGAAGAAAAAGAGTTACCTGTTACAGACTGTAATGGGTATATTAAATACATGGTTATGTTAGTATCCTGGTTGCATGGATCTCAAGCTAGTTTCTCTGTCAGAAATGAAAAATAAGTGTTGGCATGGCAGGGGTGAGTGGGTATTGAATACTTTACTGGAGCATTTACTCTTTATTTTTGTTACTTTTGCAGACCTTTAGTAGATACATACAAACATATCTATGTTTCTTATATTTGGTACATATTTGAAGTTGCATAAGTTCCTTTTTCTGTTGTTGTTTTTAATTAGTAAGTATTACCTTCCCAGAGAAACCTTAAGGCAAACACAGTAGTCTATGGTCTCTAGCAAAGTTTCAGAAAAGACTGTAGTACAGTAATATTTATTTCCTTATTCTGTTGTTGGAGCATAAATTAGCATTGCAAAAGACCAATTTAAAGAGCATTTAAACAGTATAGTTTTAGACACATTGATGCTGCTAGCTGTTAGCTTGTGTGCTTTTCAGCAGTCACAAAATAAAATAAAGATTTAATTTTGTATAACTTGCAGGAGAGGAAGAATATGATAGAGACTAACTGCAAAGATAATAGGGGTCAAATCAAGAAGCCAGGAGGAAGCAGCAAAGATGGATGGGCCATGGTCTTGAAATGCTACTTTCTTGAAATTATTGGGGGATTTTTTTTAGTAGTTTTATTTCCTTCAGTGGTATCAAAATTTCACCCTGGTCTCTGTTTGGTAAGTTGACTTCTTAAATCCCAGCTTGTATTTTCTGATCCTCAGCTGCCAAACTGAATTACTACAGTCCTTAGGAAGTGAAAACCTGTTTAACTTTTAGAGCTATGTTGCTTTGCTGTTCTATGATTTTCTTCAACCTTCACCTGTTATGGAAATGGCAGAAGAAGAGAGAAAAAGAACTAAGAATCCTGTTGATAATACTGTAAATCATTCTTTGCATTAAATTTTTGTACTCACATAAGCTGTTCTAAGCATCAGTGCCATGTTATTTGGAAAGATACTAACCGAGGATTTAGTTATTTGAGGATAACAAAGGAATTTAATGTTAATTAGTTTGGAAGAATTATTAATGATAATTAAGTTACTTTAATCAGCTTTTTAAAAAATACTATGTATTGTTTTAATAAATTCCAGTGACAGGGAGACAATTTGCTGATTATACATCATTAAGGTCATTAGACCAGCTTAAAATAAATTATATGCAGTATAGTAATTCTGTTGAAAATCCTTTAATCAGCTTAAAAGAATAAGATCATTTGAAAAATGTATTTTGATTGTAGAAACAATTAAGGTGTAGTGGAAAACTGAATACTGAAACACTATGAAGGTATAAAATCACAGAATCATAGAGTCATTAAAGTTGTATAAGACCTCCAAGATCATCTGGTCCAACAGTCCCCCCCCTCCTCTTCTCCTCCCCAATATCACCCACTAAACCACATCCGTAAGCACCAGGTGCAACCTTTCCTTAAACACCCCCATGGATGGTGACTCCATCGGCAACCCATTCCAATGCCCAATCACTCTTTCTGTTGTTACTCTTTGAAATTACAGCAAGATTTGTAAATAGCCATAGAGTGGCTCAAATGCTTTTTGAATCTTTAATTAGAAGTCACCTTTCATGACAGAATTCATTTCTGTAGTGATTGGTTTTTTTTTTGTTTTGTTTTATTTTACCCCAAACATAAAAACAGAGCAAAAGAAAGTTTGAAACATCTGAAGAAACTTTGTCATCATAGTGGATGCTTAGTGGTAGTGCAGGCTATGATCTTTCATAACAATAGGAACTGCATGATCCCGCAGCAAAGGGAATGCGCACAGTTGAAGTGAACTCATGTGCATTTACCTTGCTGCAGGATACCAACATTTTTCTTCCCTCTAGTTGACCACAAAATATTTCATAGCACTCCCCGGTGCTCTGGGAACCAAGTAGCCTGAGGAGAGATGGTCTTACTGATTGTTTCCATTTTGTAGGGCCAGTATTTTATGCTAGAAAACTGGGTTTGATCAGTCTTATCTTACATATAATTACTTTATAAAATTAGTTTGCATTTTAACTTGAAATTTGTTCTGCCTTCAGGGGAAAAAAAAAAAGAGTAGAAGAGCAAGTCTTTCACATTAATATTAGCATTTTTCTTTTTTAACAAATCTTGGATATGGGAAGAAAATATTTCCTCTTTGATTAACCAAAGCATATGTATGCATTCTTTTAATCAGTACTTTGTATGCATTATTCAGTGTGCAGTCTCATGTGTCAAGAGATGGATTGCTAGTATTCATTGTTCAATTTGAATTCCAAGATAGAAATTTTGGTTGCTGAAATGTTTCATTTAAAGAAAAATATATTCAGACTTTAAGTACAGATACCATATTGTTGAAAGCCAACTTAACATTTTCATGTATGATTACACAAGCTGGTTTTGCATTTGTCACTGTGGTTCTTCTGTTTTCAAACCTCTGTTAGACTCAGCCAGTTGTGAAACTTACTGGCTCAGTCTGAGATTGTTCTAGAAAAATGATAGAGTATGTGTAATTTCCTCCAACTTAGTAGAAAATAGTAATAATAATAATAAAAAAAAAAAACCACAAACTTTTTAGACAAGAGAAAAGAACGTACATACTTACTGGTCTTTTGTCATTGCATCAATGCCAATATTAATATTGAAGATGTGTTCCTATTGTAAAGAAAGAATATGGCTTTAATAACAAGGTGAGAATAACAGTAAGGAGCAATCTTTGAAGTTCTATCTTTGCATTAAAAAGGATTCTTTCATAAAAATCCTTTTGTAAACTATTCCTTGAGTTTGTTTTATAAGCAGGCTGAACTTTTAATGAAAAATGTTATCTGATATTTTTGAGCCTATTATATAGCAGAATTATATACTGTACTTCAGTAGTGCTCAGGTAAAATTCAAGCATTCGGAATTCAGAAAATTCCTGTGTTATATTCTTGTATCCTGACAGCACCAATGAAGAGTCTGTGGCCCTTGACTGTGGAGTATGCTGGGTGCACCTAGGTTCTTCAGAGAACTGAGTGTGACATTCTAAATTTCTCTAAATATTAAAATAAATAGGCAAGGTGGCTATTAGGGCATGTTTCAGTGACAGCAAACATATGCATTCAGTGTAGTCTTCTGCAGAATTTTGTCTCTTTGCGCTAAAGTTGGGAAACACTGAAGATAGGAGTTCTCATACCATTGACAATCCAGTATATTTTCACAAAATTTACTTGATAGGTATGCCTAGCAATCTGAAGGCATACACCTATATGCCTTTATATCCACCCATAGCAGAAGCATCTGAAGGAAATCTGCTCACTGAAAGAAGTAGAAATTTTCTGAGGAACGTTGTTACTTTGCAGTTTATCTAGCATGCTTCATTTTGTGTTCAACAAAATAATGCTGCCACCTCACAGGTTTTTTTTTATTAATCCGTGTATGTATGATAAAGGTTCTTTGTCCATTTTTTCTCTTTTAGCTTCTGTGATGAAATTTTAGGTTTTAGTTTAGGTTTAACTTCTATCTTTAAAATAAGTTTCCAGTTCTTATCATTTTGGGACAAATGAGGAATAAATATAGCGGAGTTATAAAATGTGCTTCAAGAACATCTTAAATGTTCAAAACTCTTCAATAATTAAAATGAATATTTCTGTTCTGTGTAAAGCAGAACATCATCAGCTTTAAGACTAGCTGTTTCTCCAGTTTAATTGTCATGGATAGGGGATATTTAGTTAGTCTTTTCTTTATTACGCGTGAGGTCTGCCAAAAATACCAGTTAATGATAAAGCTATTATATGTGTCTGTCTTCCCTGATACTTGGTATGGTTTCGTGCTTCTGAATGCATCTACTTTGTCTCTGTGGTACTTTGTATCTAGTAGCTACTTATTACTTACCGTAGTTAAATTTTAAACAAGTAAGAAAAATGAACAAAAAGAACCCAAGGTTGTCATTAAAAAATAACACTAGTTTAATTTCTTCTAGATAAAGACCTTGACAAGCTGTTATCACTCCTAAAAAATCCAGATAAACAAAGTGGGTGGGCAGATATTTGTAGAAGACAGTTCTGCAAAGTCATGAAAGCCAGACCGGATATCATCAGTGGAACAAGTAAGTATGACTTACAGAGTTGAAAAAAGCAAGTAAACGGAAAGCCATTGGTAAGCAACGATTCTTTAAAGTTTTATTGAGGATTATGTTATATTTTGAATGGCTTTCTTTATTTGCTAAAAGGAGATACGAACCTTCCTCAGACTTTTACATGTATGTCTTCTGGTGCAGCAGGACTGAAAGTGCAGAATTTCTTTTGGTCTTCTAAAAGAAAATAATATTTTCTTCTAAAAGAAAAAAATAGAGAAGCAGCTTCAACATTCCACAGCTCTAAGCACAATAAGCTCAGACAGAAACATTCTAATCATTCCTTCTGTAAACGTGCCATAGATTTGTGCATGCTCAGGAAATAGCTGCTTATTGTGCAGTTTTGCGTGTCTCTGGGTTGCTCAGATCAGCTAGAGGACCACTGATACAGTCCTTAGTCAAGCTAAGTCTTTTTGGAATAGTCTTTGCAGCCTCCCTGAAGCATCTTCAGCACATCAGGGCTTTCTCTGTATTTGAACCTGGGCTTTAGCAGGAAGAGAAACAGGCAAACCAACTCTCCCCCAAAAAAGATTAGATTTACATGGAAAATTGCAGGGCTGTGTATCTAGGCTTAGTGTATTGAATGTTCAAATAGTTTGTGTGATAGCAAACTATTTTTTGGGCCTGTTTCAAAAAACCCGTCTCATCCCTCATCCATCGGGATTTGTAGAAGCTTTTTATTTTGTTGTTGTTGCTGTTGTTGTTGGTTTTTAGCTCAAGAAATCTCCCTTATATTTTCCCAGTTGGTGTTGTATCAGCAGCTGACCTCTCTCCTGTCTGGGGGCAATCCAGCATCCTTAGTCCACTCATATCTTAGGAGACTTTAAACTCTACATAGGAGAAATTGAGGGTGTTGCAAAGATTATGTAATTATATAGTAACATTCTTTCATTTATAATGAGAGGTAATCCATCCCCAAATCCTAATCATTTTTGTCAAGCTTTGTATGTGGATACAGATAGAGATAACAAGCTCAGCTACAATTACTTGCTCCTTGGGGGGCATTCAGTCATCATGGCATGATTCCCTCAGGAATCTGGACTTAGATCAGGAGTATTCTTTAGGACCTATCCATCTACTTCTAAAATGTTCTCTTTTAAAAAGTGAACAAACAAACAAAAAATAAATGTGGGAAGGATATTTCTTTTTTTGGAGCAATTTTCACCTTCAGGCAGTTATTATTTTGGTCTCAGCAACCATTGATTGGCTTCAAAGATACAAAAAACATAATCAGAAGCTCTTGAAATTGCATCTGAAATCATACCAGAAAACACAGGATTTTTCTTTATCTTTTACAATGAGTTGAATGTTTAATGACAATAGAGTCATTACAATCAACACAGTGTTTTGGAATTCATGAAAAGTCATTGTTTGTGATGTTCCTGTGCTACAGCCTTTAGCAATCACTGCAAAAAGTTGAAAGTAACATCAGATCTTACTCCATGGGATGGGCGATGAAAAAGATGAATATTTTCAGTAGGTATGACTATTTTTTTCTCTTCAGTATCAGAAGACAATAGACTTGGTTATTTTCAAAATAACCCAGTCAAGGGTTGAAAATGTAGCTTATATCAAGACACACTTGACAGCTATCTGAATCGCAGCAAAGAGTATTTCAGTTGTCAGCACTCTGCTGTAGAAGTTAAGATAATAGTTACAGACTTTCGTTTTTGATGGAAAGAGTCTTCTGGATTCAAAGACAATGAAATACTATGTTTCTACCATTATTAGAACATCTTGCTACTTTTGGGGGTTGAAAATTACTTAAATTTCAGCCTTCGGTTGGTGCTACTAAAGAAGACTTGACTAACTTCAGTCTGCAGAGTAATCTTCTGTAGATTCTCTTTTTAAGTGTGTGAGAGAAAATTTTCTTTGCTGACTGCGTTTTTCATAGATTTATTGGACTGATCTATGGTTGATGGAGTTGAAAATTTCTGATGCTACTTATAAAAAAGTCAACTGTCCAAGGTTTTCATTCATGAATTTTTAACCTCTAACACAAGTCAAGAAGGACTACTGTTGACTCTTAAGAGAGTTCTTTTTCTTCTAAATTCCTTTGAAGGATCTGTGAATTGGTATAGAATATGATCCCCTAATACTAGTTACATTAGAGGATCAAAAATTTTCTAATATGTGCTGTGATTTTTGACCTTTTTGGCTTAAACCCCTCAGAGAAGTAATTAAATAACTTCTGGTTGTTACCTAATAAAACAGTTGGAATCATAATTTTTTAAATCAGTGTTCTTATGCAGTTTAGAAGCAATTTGAATTACCTTCCTTTTGTACATTAATTCTTCAAGAAAAAATAACAAAACAAATGTCCTGTAGGAATACAACTGTTTTATGGCATACTGAAATAGTTTAGTAGATTTCAAAGTTCTTCCATTTCTTTTGTATATGATTACACACTCCCAAGCTACAATTGTCTTTATTTCGGATGCGTGGATTCAATTTACATGAGGTAATTGTCAGTGTTTTAAAAACTTTGATATTTATACTGCCAAGCTACCATAATTTAAGAAAATTAACATCGTAAACAAATTGGTAGGCCTTGACACTAATTTTTGTGTATGGACATAATCTCTGCGTGAGATGTGGGCTATTGCAACAACACTGACTGTGTTGTACAATGAACTTTTCTAAATTTCATTTGGCTCCTTTTCCAATTAAATGAAAAATCATTTAGCCAGTCTCCATCTTTACAAAGGTTCCCTGATTGTGTCTACATGGCAGCTAAATGATTTAGTATTAAAAGATAAAAATTAAAATAGCTACTTGTCATTTCACATGAACATTCTTGTGGAAGAGAAAATGTCCTGTGAAAACCCTCTATTTCCATATTAACCAAATTTGTTTTGATAAACTCTTCTGCATCTTTTCTCCTCTCAAACTTGATTAAAAGCTTTTCAAAGATCCTGATAGGCACTTAGATAAATACTTTCAAATGGTGGAAATCAATTTTGTGCTTGAGTTTCAAAAAATTGCTTAGTAGTTGTTGAGCTGTCACTTCTCATATTAACTCAAGCACTGAACTGGAATATTTAACTGTTAGGTCAAGCGTGTGGATGGCTTCCAACAAAAAAGGGGAAGAAAAACACAGTGTTCAGACTTGACTTACATTGAATTATGAAATACTTTATTCCTCTTTGCTATTTTTTTTTCTTGCTTTACTTACGCAAATATTTGTTACAATGTTTGTGGACCAAATTTCACTAAGCCTATTAGTGAAGATGTGAGATTGTTTATTCTTACAAAATGAATAAACCATCGCTCTTCTACAAAATATTTTTTTTTGGTAGCCCTATGTGGTTTCTTAAAGGTGTGACTCAAATAGTTCTTTTCATAAAAATGCATAACAATATAAATAATATGTGTAATATTTTTCATTTTGATTTGCTAATCCTTTGCAATGCAAAGGATTTTTTTTCTTTTTCTTTTTTTTTTTTACTGTTGGACCTGGTTACTATGACTGTAAACATGTTTTTAGCTGTTGTAGTGAAACTTCTTTTTCACATATAGGGGAATACCCAAACTCAGCCTCTAAAAAACTTCACAAAAAAAAAAAAAAAAAAAAGGATTAGTTCTAGATAAATCTCCATAAATGTTTTTATCCAGTTAATCATTAAAACAAACAAACAAAAACACACAATTTAATGTCAGTATATTAGCTTAAAAAATGGTTGTTAGCTTCCAAATGGTTGGAATAAGAGTTAGTTATTGTCTGTGAGATTCTTTTCTTCATTATTTTTCTGGCATAACAAGCATCAGACTGTGCATCGAGGTTCTTTCCTTCTCCTTCTCCTCATGCACTGCAAGCTTGCACTCCTTCTCTGCCAGTTTTCCTACCAACAGTTTTCTGCTTTTCTGCTTTTCTCCGTTGCCATCTCCACCACAGATTGTTATGCTTCGCTTGTGTTGCTATGACTGTTCGTACAGCTACATGCTAAAATGTTTTATCGGAATTATTCAGCTTAAAAATGACAAGACCTGTGCATGCATGAAGTTTTGTGGGGCTAGGTGCTGAAGCTTCAACACTGTTGAGTTGCATTTGAGGTGATGTCAAGGAAATTGTAAAGTGCAGACTTAAAACGGGAAATCCCAACTCTTTTTTACTCTGTAAGAAAACTCTTTTTTACTCTGTAAGAATGCTCCCTTGCTTTGCATTACTGCAAAAAGTTATATCGCTATTCTTTAAAACCAGCTTATTATAACAATAGCATTTACTTATCAAAAATGTTCATCATTGCTATATCAAGTTCTTAATATGGCTAATCTCAATATCCTCCATGCAGTATTTATAAAGACTTCCTTGTATCCTTTAGTTTACCTCTGTAGGGTGCTAGTGTGTTCAGGTTGCAGGAGCCTCAAACTTGCAGAATTGAAGATCATTGAAAGTTGTCACTAACTACCTGGCTAACATTCTGTTAAGGTGGGATATGTAATTTCTTATGTAGTGACAAGATTTCAGCATTGGGCTTCTCTGTGCAGTATGTGCAGACTCAAAATTCCACAGAAAGAACTGAATAACAACATTCCAGACATCATCTGATATTACAGATTTTCCAAATGGAAATACTCTAGTCATTTAACTTTCAGTGTATAGCTTTTATAGTTAAGTGTATAGATTTTATCTTTTGGGGTCATAGGTCATGTTGGAAACAGCCCTTAAAACTTTATTCACTTTTCTTGGCATCATTTTGGGGTATTTTTCTTCTTTTTTTTTTTTTTTTTTTTTTTTTAGGATAAAATATTGTAGTTTAATTATAGTTAATTGTAATTTTATATTGAAATAATGTAGCAAATTCTGAAGTAATCCTTGGAGGATACAAAGATAATAGTGAATTCTCTTTCAGTTTACACTGAATATATTCTCAATAAAGCTATTTAAAATCTAATTTAAGCTAGGAATGGTGGTAGGAATGCAAAAGCACTAAGTATGCTTTGAATTGTTCCCCCATAAAAACATGAATAAACATGCAGAAATTCAAATAGCTTTAGTTATCTTGTTAGGCAATACAGTTCCCCACTTCGTTCATTGCCTTTAACATTTAAATATTTTTATTCTTTTTGCAGTTTTGGCAGAATTAATTGAAAAGTTCGTGTCACGTCTTTCTGAAAGCCGATCGGATTGTTATTTCAGCATGGAAAGCTATAAAGGTCAGTTTCCTAATAATTTATTGCTGTGAAGCCTCTTCATATTCAAATTACTTTCCTTTTAAATATTTCTGTAGTGGTTTGGGGATTGGTGAAAATTTTCCTTAACAACTCAGAAATTCATTACTTAACTGATGTACCTCAGTTTGGAGCAAACGATGATGTACTTGAGGAAGCAGTATAGACAATTATTAGTGATATTTTCACATTTCTAGCGTGCAGTGGAAAGGAGATGAAGAACAGGCAAGGGTGTCATTCAAAGTATTTGTTGACACCTATTTCACGATGATTTGCAGACCTGGTGGCATAAATATTTAAGCAAGCTTAAGCAATCTGGTTTACCTTTTGAAAACCCTTTATTATGTAATCAACCCCTAATTATGCCATTTATATCGCATTAGTAGAATTGTTATTGTTGGCAGAGCAATCTGAGTGTTAGTTTCATACAGATATTATGCTTACAGCCAGGAACAAAGGAGGAATGATAAAGTTAATTTATTCTGAATGTAAAGTAATATGTTTTATATTACTTTTTATATGTTTTATATGTTTTACTTTTATATGTTTACTTATAAAATCAAAAGATACAAAAGCATAGTTAATAACTACTGGAAAATGCAGTTTCATTCTTTAATATCTGTAGACTTCTTTCCTAGGTCGTAGTTTACTTATTTGGAGTTCTAGAGGACCAAGCCATCTTAGGGGAGGACCTATTATTTATACTTCTATTTTGTTCTCACATCCATAGGATGAAAATATATCTTCAGACATGCCTTTGAAATTTCAAAGCATAAAACACCTTTAGTAATTTAGATCTCTTTCTTTTATGTAGTGCCTTTGCCATTTAGCCATGTATCTTCTGAATACTTTAACAGAGCATTTTATTTGAGAATCTTTCTCTTTGCTTAAGGAAGAGATTTGCTAAGTGCCAGTTCTGTCATTTTTTTTATTCCTCCTTAAAAGATCAGTTCTCAAAAACTTGTACTGAAAGATTCTTCTAAACCCTATTGTCCTGCATCAGTTTATTACTTACTTTTTGACTTCTCAAGAGGCATAATGAGCAACAAAAAATTTTTCATTGACTCATAAAACTTGCTATTGACTCATAAAACTTGCTTTTTGCATAGATCTGTCTCAATTCAAATCATTATTTCAGCTACTCTGTTAAAAGTATAACATCTTCACAACTTAAAAGATTTGACACCTAGACTTCCCAACTTCCCAACTTGCTCCTCTCTGTACATTTTTCTTTTTGGGTCAAAGTTTAAGGTATTGTACAATCTCCAATGATATTAAAGGCTCAGGTGCAATTTCTTGTCCTGCTATGGGGGCTGCCTATCTCTTGGTTCTTTAGAGGATAGTGCAGCCTGCAGACTATAAAAGTTTTTCCTGTTAGATGTTGTCTGTTTGATTTGATCTGAATAAGGCAATAACTTAACTGAAAGAAGAACGGAGGAGGAACTGTGCAACTTCCAAGTGGATGTCTTGCCCAGCAATGCAGAGCATTCCTGCTGTTTCTTAATCACAACACTTAATCATTAAGTGTTCCCATCTAATGTGGAAAAACTCTAATGAAGGGACACATCTGTACCCTCTGCACTTAGAAGTGCAGAAGAGTGTATTTTCAATCCACTCTTGTCCACCCATTGTTCAAAATGAGTATTTAAAACAACTTAAGGAAGGTTGAACCTGAATCTTCTACTTCATTAACCTATGATTTCAACATGAACCATTGATCAGATGGAGCTGTCAACAATAACATACTGTTCATCTAAAATTTAATGCCAACTTTAAAGAAACCAAGATTGAAAATTGTATGACAATCACATACATGAAATTATACCTTGTGATTTTCTGTTCTTAAAAGATAGATACAGAGACAAAACAAATATAACAAATTAAAAGCTCTTGAAAATCTTGGGCTGGACAGGTTTTCAACAAACCAACCCATTTTTAAAAATTATTTTTTTATATATTTTTCAGAAAACCAGTCCAGTCTGTATAATATTCCTTTCTGTATTTTATGAATCACTTTTTCATGCATAATTATACAGGCAGTATTGGACGTGAATTCTCTAAAGAAGTTTATGTATACAGTTCTTAAATAAAAGTTCCATGATGCATTGTGACCTCACTGCTTTAGCTGCAAAGAGAAAAAAAGTGAATCTCAGAATTCAGCAATATGCAAAGTCCTCCTGCTTTTCTACAGGAAGATTTGTTGCATCTAACAAATAATTTAAAATGACTGGTTTTATCAGATACCTCATTCTCTCTAAAATATACTCATTTGCTCTGATTATGACGAACTTATTCCTTCAGAACTACTAAATGATAAATTAAACCCTAAAATGATAAATTAAACCCCAAATAAAATAACAGGAGTTTGAAGCTAGAGTAAATACATTTAAGATCAGAAATTAAAGATGACACTTTCTCCTTCACAGTAAAAAAAAAAATCAGGTTGGATGATGAACAATTTTCTTTTGCAAATTTTGATATTCCCTGTCGTGATAAATATAAGGTTAGGAATGGGATAGCGAGAAACCTTCTGAAGGATTGTCAGTAGCCTGGAGATAAGACACTGATATGAACTGTAGGCAAAGGGCAGGTATTCTCTTAATGTTTTACCCCCCGGTCAACAGTGCCATCATCACACACTCTTTTTGTGAAGAGTTCTCCAGTTCTGGAAAATGTGTTGCTCAGTCAAACGGTGTGATTCATCAAAGGTTTATTTTATGTTTTACAGGAAGTCAGTTAATAAAATTTCATAACACATTTTTCAGACAGGTGTAGCAATGAGTATTTTCCAGTAAAACCAGCTAAGACCAATAAACTCATGCCGATTGTCAAGAAGGTGAAACAAAAATACGGTTCCAAAATTGAATCTAGGATTATACAACACTCTGGTAGATTAAAAAAGCTTGACTGTATGAATCAGTTGTGTAGCCAAATTTACACTCATTTCACTCTTTCTTACCCAATAAAATATACAGTGTGGCATTCCTATGAAGACGGAATGTGCTGAGAGGCCCCAGTTCTGTATTACACTTACAGTATTTGCACAGAAGGGAGAAATGGATGCATCTTCCTAGCTCAATATCTAAGTAAGCCAAAAATGCATTTTGCAATTGCATGTGTCCCCCATTCACTCTCTTCAATAAATCGGGATTTGGGGAAACAATTTCTAACTAATGTTTAGTCTTAATGAAGAGAAGCCACAATTTTCATGAAACTGGATCCAGTATAGTGTATAGATACTCAGTGTTTATCATGTTCCTTGAAATGGGAAATATATTATCTTAAAAAAATGACAGCTTTCTAAACCCGTAGGTAGTTGTAATTAGAATAACACAGTCATCCATCTGCTGTGGAATCCCTCAGGATTTCAGTCTATTATAATATCTGCAAATATGGAAAAATCAAATTAGTTTGGGTTGTTATCATTTTGAAGATAAGGGATAAGAAAAAATAACTGATAAACCACTATGCATTTGCAGTGCTTAATTATAAACAGTAACACAAATCTTACTTGAAGTGTACTTTTTGCTAGCAGCAATGATGCTGCTGTGATGTGGATTCAGATGAGGAAAATAATATACAGTACGTATGTTAAATGTTAATGAACTCTGTCCACCCCCTTTCCCAAGATTAATACTTTACAGTTTGCTTTTATTTGTCTTTCTTCTGAAAAAGATATGAACATTGAAAGCCAATCCTTGATGCCTAGCTGTCAGAGGCAATAGGATGCAGGAGGCAAGCAATTGAAATTTGCTATAGCAGTAAAACTGGCGTTATGCATTAGGGATATGAAGTTACTAAAATAGCTACTTTATCTTCCTGTTACCAGCAAATTCCAGTTCATTGAAACACAAATGTTTTCTGTAAATGTACTAGTTTTCTCAAGGTTCCAGCAAGCCTATTTCTCAAAGAACTCCACTTGTAGTGTTATCTTTTTCTTTACCATGAGGGTGACAGAGCACTGGTGCAGGTTGCCCAGAGAGGCTGTGGAGTCTCCTTCTCTGAAGATATCGAAAACCTGCCTGGATGCCATCCTGCACAATGTACTCCAGGTGATCCTGCTCAGCAGCAGGGGTTGAACTAGATATCTTCAGAGCTCTCTTCCAACCTCGGCCATTCTGTGATTCTGTAATATGCTAGTGTCATGGTCTCCACCATGTGTTGCAAACTTCCCATACTCAGGAATGCTATGACCTCTCATGGTTAACTGTTCTTTTGGGTAGCTCTGTTGGTGCAGGTGACCTTGCAGTTGAGTTTTCTATTTCCACTGACCTCTACCTCTGAAACAGCTGAAGCAATAGAATTGCAGGTATTCAGGCCTTAGGCATAAAATTGAAATATCCTGCTTTGTTCCTTCTCTAGTTGAGGCTCAGTTCTCCAGATGAACAAAATCTCATAGGAACTTTCTACCATTTAATAAGCTTAGTGATCAGGTGGATTGGGTGATGAACAGAAATTTTAAAAATGCCAATGGGAAGCTTCTTAGAGGGAGTAATGAATCAGAAATACAGGACTACATCACAAACTGGGCTGAGAGGGAAGGACGGAAGGAGGGGCATTCATCCCTTCCTCCTGCATCATTTGTTGGATGCACTTCTTTAAAGATAGGTGCTATTACCAAAAAGCATTTTGCCCTTTCCTAGTTGTTATGTAACTGGACTGAAAATGTAGTTTATTCTTAAAGATGTTGCTGCCAAAAACAGCTTGAGTATTTGTGATGACCAATACTCAGAGAAGTTCTAGATACGAATATTTTGATCTTCTATTATGACAAGGAATCTTTCTGATGACCTAGCAGATATTTTCAGCAATTAGAGTGGAATTGCACTTGAGATTACTTACTTACCTCTGATGAGGAGCCATTGTCTGTCTTCATTCACAGTTTAAAAACAACAATAATAATATATTTCTTTGAAATGGGATTTTGTAGAGACAATTCAAACAATGAATACAAGATTCAGTCAGAATCTTGTCAGAAGCGTTATAGATGGATAATTTTTTGGAGGAGATGATGTTTTGATGTTCATTAAAGAACAGTAGCAAAATGGCAGGAGAATATGGTGATAAAAGTATGATTTCCACTCTTCCCCAACTCCAAAAAAAATGTTTTAAAATAGATAATTTTCATAAGGATATCACACAGTGTTTTATACTGCCTCCTTGGATACCTTTACACTGCCAATGTTTAGACACATACTAAAGAAGAAAAATAAAAGCTGATTTTTATTTAAATAAAAGATTTGGTCAGTTTCACAATTCTAGTTTTTATGGACAAAGCCAAAGACTAGAGATCTGATAGGAAAAATAACTACGTATTGTAAAGTTCCTTGAAGCTCATACAAGAATTATGCAGGTGCCTCTGACCATCATGGGATATTCAGTAGCTGTTTGCTGTTTTATTACTTACCTTTGATTAAAGGAACCATGTAATTTCTATCTATACAAAGAAAACTAATATTTCTTACCTAAAAATAGACTGAGATAAAATTTAGGATTTTGCGGAGGTTATTTGTGTTGCCATAAAAAGATTTGGCCTGAACACCAACAAGTGAAAAAAGGTAAGTCAATACTGTAAGTACAGCGTTAGTCATTTTTCCCACTTACCACAAAAGGAAAGGCAATAGTTTCTTTGGGATAACAGCAGTGAAATGGGAATAAATTATTACCCAAAGACCATACAAGTGGTATGAAATGTACTGTAAAGCTGTTTCAGCTTGGCATCCAGTCGCTTCATTGTGAATGCAATGTAGCCCATTTTCTGACTTAACCACATAAAAGTTTCTTTGTGGTAAGAGGAAAAATGAATAAGAAAACCTTTCAGATGAGTCGTAAAGTTGATGCATTGAAGTTTAGCCTGATCAGGAAGAATACAATTGGATTGTGTGTGCCACTTAACTCACTCTGAAGTATCTGTAGCTACAGATTGACTTTAATAGTACTATTTACTTGCCTTTGCAAGTTGTGCTTTTTCAGAATGTCTGTTTTTATGCTCCTGAATGTTACAAAACTTTTGCAAAGTGCTGTGCATTGAAGCACTTGAAATGGGCGTAACCATAGTACAACTGATCAATCATAACCTCAAAGCAAGAAAACACTGAGATTGCATAAAGAATTGCTCCTTGTCTTCCCTTTTTCCTGTTCTTCCTGCTTCCCCTAACTTTTTGGGAAAGCATGAAAGCCAAGGAAAGGAATTTGCAATAAAACAAGAAGACAAGGAAAGGTTGGAAACAAGGGAAGATTACAAAATGATAAAAATAAGTACTTCCTTATTGTAGAAAAACTTATTATTTTACATTTTTTCATATGTAGTGTTTATATTCTCATGTTTAAAGTCATTATTGGCAATTAAGAGTTTGCAGTCATTAATGTTTCAAAGGAATCTTTTTCTCTTTTGAATTAATAAGATTGTATTAAATTATGGCTTCCTAAAACAGTTTTAAGAGCAGCCATACTGAATTTTTTTTTCATGATCAGCTTCTTAGAAGAGTGCATGGTAGGTTGCTAATGTAAAGAGTAGATTCAGGGTTAAACAAAATGAATTGTCTACATCCTAAAGTGGTCCATACCTACTGCTGTGGAGTCATACGTATTTTAGAATGAGAGACTATGTCATCTTCCCATTGTAACTATTATTATTTTAATTGTAAGTCTATACAGCTCCTAAAGGAACATGTGGAATATCTTTCAAGTCATCCTTCAAGTTTCGATTTGGGTTAATTTCCATTTTACCATATTTTGATTTTTAAAATAAGAAGTATAAGATACCTATTTGACATAGATTTTACTTTTATTAGATAAATAAAAAGGAAGTTACTAAAGCATGTTGTTCATTCCATTTAATAATAGTCACAGTGCAGTATCATGTTCTTATCTAATTTACAGTTCAGAGCGGTGTTCTGTCATTTGTTTGAGGGTAAGTGGCATTCTTGTTTAGAAAATTGTTCCATCAATGCCTTCTGTTTTTCAAGACAGTTAGTTTTCAGGTATATTGATAAATAATTGTCAAATATGTTTTGTAGAATATCAAATTGTGTATTAAATCCACAGAGTCATGAGCATCATTATAATAGTACAGTCACAACATATGACTGCAAGCTTGCTAGTAAGCTTTTTATCCATGGATTGCAATATGCAATATCTTCATACCCAACTTATTCTTAATAATAATTCACTAGCTTAATGGAACATTCAAGGTTTATAGGTCCAGGTTTTTAATCAGTAGGAAGTGGTCCTTTGTGTATTCTAAATGGCTTTGTAGTTTTCTAATGCCTAGTGTTCCCGGTTTGTTAATTGGAAAAGCAAAATGGAAATCAAAAATTTTGACAAGGAACCTCAATTTCTGTGTTCGTAATGTGAGTTGTCGACTGGTAGTAACTCAACTGCATAGTGTACAGAGCTATGATTATATCAAGTACACTGGTGTAAGAAAGTGAGAGTTTTTGCCTTGATGAGATACTACATAATATAGAATTATTCGGTCCAAACTCTATGTTAATTTTATCTTCTTTCATAATACTGGGGAAAATATCAAAGGGAAAACTGATGAGGAAAAGATCCTTTTCAGCAACTAAGAATTATTATACCAGAAAATAAAAGGCAATGAGGATGAATGAAATCAGTTGTGTTCTTGTAATGTTGGTAGGAAGGAAGCATTCAGTACTTGCTGTAAGTTGTTACAAAGTGGAAACTGGTTCAGATGGTGTGCTGTCATATGGCTATTTCTCACAGGCACCCTTGTTGGACTCTGAGAGCAGTTCCAGCATTTCCACCCACAGAAGGCTCATCTTGAAAAGGAAGCAGAGCTTCCTTGGTGTAGAGATTGTTAGGCTGTTTCCTTCTCTCCTGCAGTCATGCAGGACTGAATATACAGTCATGCCAGGACTGAATTAACCATTAGTTACCATTAGTCAACTCATTCAAATTCTCCCTGGCTTGTCTTCTACCATGGCTTCTATGTTACAGTATAGCTCTGGGCTGCACAATTGCAAATAGGAACCTGGAAAAGAATGCACTGTTTGGGTGGTATTTGCAGCTTGAGAAAACAGGTAGCTCGGAACAGTAGCTGTATGTCCTGGTTTCAGTTAGAATTTTCTTCCTAGTAGCTGGTGGAATGCTGTGTTTTGGCTTAGGATGAGAAGAGTGCTGATAACACCCCGATGTTTTAATTGTTGCAGAGCAGTGCTTATACCAAGCCAAGGACATCTCAGCCTTTTGCTCTGTCCTGCCAACGGGCAGGCTGGGGGTGCAGTAAGAGCTGGGAGGGGACAGACCCAGGACAGGTGACCCAAACTAGCCAAAGGGGTATTCCATACCATCTGACGTCATGCTAAACAATATATAGGGGTGGCTAGCTGGGGGGAGGGGGCCGGACTGCTCGGGGTTAGGCTGGGCATCGGTCAGCGGGTGGTGAGCAATTGCATTGTGCATCACTTGTTTTGTACATATTATTATTAGTAGTACTATTATCACCATTGTATTATTATTATTATCATTATTATTATTATTATTATTATTATTATTATTATTATTATTATTATTATTATTATTATTATTATTATTATTCCTGTCTTATTAAACTGTCTTTATCTCAACTCACGGGCTTCACTTTCCATTTCTCTCCCCCGTCCCAGAGAGGGAGGGGGAGGGGGAGCGAACGGCTGCGTGGTGTTTAGCTGCCGGCCGGGTTAAACCACGACACTGTAAAAAGTTAGCAACTGTTTCAAGCATCTCCAGGGCTTTATAACTGAAATGTCCTGTGATTTAATATGGATTCTTTCAAATACTGTTTTTCTTGAACTTCTATTCTGGGGTTGAAAAAAAAAAAAAGGCTTCGACTTGAGATTACTATTTCAATCTCATCAGTTTATTGAATAAATTCAAGAAAATTTCAGTCTACAGCTCATCTGAGCAGGACACTTTTTCTTTCTTTCTTTCTTAGACAATTTTTTAATTAAGTTCATTTTTTTTTCTTTTTTATTAGCACTTTGTCTCAAAGAAGTATGTTAAAGGCTTAAGACCTCAGCTTTTAGCGCATAGTATTACTGTAGTGATTTTTTTTGAGGTGTCGTTATCTTAGATGAGATGAGAACACGAAATAGACAGAACTTCATCTTTTGCATTTAAAATTTAGCATTTTGAGAAAATGTTACCAACGGGGTTGTTTTAATTCACGATTTATTAATTTGTTTATCTAACTTGGATTTCTCATTTAAATAAATGCAAAAGAATGGTGGTATATATTACTGTGTGAAAGAAAAAATCATGGAAATACAGGATATTTAAAAAACAATCAATTATAAAATGTTCAATGAGACTAATATCAAAATAGAATTTTTGTTAGCAAGGTTGGCTTTACAGCTTGGTGACTTTAAGGCCACTGGAATGGAAGAAAGTAAACCAGAAAATGCGGCTTTGATTTCTTGGCAAGAAGGGATGAAGCTCTGCCAAGAAATGGGTCTGAAGATGATGTTTGTTCTCATCATGCTTTAAAGCTAATGATAACCATATTAAAAGTGAACATTTTCCTGTAAAGAAAGTGATTTTAATTAAAAAAAAAAAAAAGTATGAGGAATACAGGTTCTTGATGTTTCTTTGCAAATACTGCTAAACTCACTTAAATATGAAACAGATCTCCAAAATTAGTATCTGTGCATGGAAGCTTTACATTAGTATTCAGTTCAAATCATATTTTTCATAATACTTTATTATATTTTTCTTTTGTTTTAGCCATGGATGCAGATGTGAAGAAGGAACGCCTTTCATCTGTGCAGCTGCTTGGTGTTGAAATGACAGTCAGGTACATGGTATTAAAATATTTCCCTAGTGTATTTCTAGAATTTGTTTGATTTCATGGAATGACTTTAATGATATTTAATCCATTAACTCAGTGTTTTATGCCATCTAAATCTAAAGATAATCTTTTGAGAAAATGAATTCTAAATTTCAAAACGAAAAAGGTATTAGTACATAATTAAATTATCTTTACAGATTATATAGGTTATTGTCCTTGATTGCTGCAAAGGCTAATTGTAACTTGTTAGTAAGATTTACCACTTAAATTACATTATTCTGAGTTATGTTTCTTTTCCTTCTCACATTACTTCTCTAAATGGTTCTGTTTAGCTAAGCTTAGTTATATGCCATTAACACATTTTATTTCGCTCATAATTTGCAGAGCTATGATGAAAGAAAAGTTAATGTGTCTGTACTTCCACAGATTGTTTTCTTTAGCATTAATATTTGAATTCTGATGCCAATAGTTACATATAAAATATACTTTAATTACATATAAAAATATTCTTAGCTGGAATTCTAAACAACATACGTGAAGAAAATGAGTCATGTATCATAGACAAAGTCCTTGTTCCTTCCCATCACAGTTGCTAAAACTTTGAATTACAAGGAATTTGGGTAAGAAATTGTAACACTGAGTAGAATAGTCTGCCATTCCCAAATGAAGAACCATAGCTTTTATTAAACCATTTTTTATATATCTACAACATTGTGGTTTTGATGTTCAGTGTGATGACTGCTTAACTTTTACAGGCCTATTAAGTATGAATTCTTGCTTTTTAGTTTTATTTTATTTATTTATTTTAACGTATTTAAGCAATTTCAGTTTTTAATTTCTTGTGTTAGATATGGAAAATACCTGAATTTGCTAAAAGAACATGCTGAAAATGATCTGTGCTTCGTCTTAATGAATTGTGAGCAATTTCTGAAACAACAGCAGACAACTGTGGTATCCTCACTTCGTATCCTTCTTGATTGCATAAATTGTGTGGCCTAAGAATGCTAGTGGAACTTGAGCCCTCAATTTGGGTTTATGATGGTGGTGTTATATGTGTAATATATCCTGGAAGAAGAAGAAAAAAGGCACTTTCTTTGAAATTTTGTTAAGTTAAAATGCACACACAATGCACTCCATAAAATATTTGTCATTCTGTTCCATATTTTGTTAAAATTGTTTCTCATTAATTTTTGTCATAAAGTTTTTTGGTGTAGGGTCACATATCTCTGTATATGCTAAAGAGTCTGAAGCAATATACCTTTGAGCATTAATAAATATTTGTGGTACTCCCACAGTATCAATGTTCTGGTGCTATGTACTATGTAGATGTACTGCAGTTGTATTATGTAGTACATAACGTACTATGGAACATTATATATATATATTTTTAATATAGCAATGATAACTGTTTCCAATAAGCTTTTTTCTTCAAGCATTAGGCTTAGTGTATCTCTATTAAAATATAGTTCAAGTAGTCAGCATATACTTTAATTCTGTTTTGAAAGCTTTTATTTTACTTTTTCTTTTTTTCCCCCCTAATCTTCACAACTCATGTTTTCCTCCTCTTCCCCTACCATTCTCTGTTCCTGTACTGTGGGCACACTTGTTTTTGTGTGAGGGTTTTGTATTTACATATTTCGTACTTACATATTTCTCTAGTTTTTTTTTTTGTTGTTGTTTTTTCCTGATTTGAAACATTTGCTTATGGACTGGAAAAGAGTAGACTACAGGGAAAACAGCTTAAATTGTTTCTCTTAATTCAGTTGTAGAGACAGGTGTGTCTCTAGAAAACTGCTTTCTGTGCAGCTATATTCCATTGTCCCATCTGTAACAAACAAGCTCTTAACTCTGTATGTTCAGACCTGGGGAGTGAGGAAGGCTGCAATTCCTGCATGGCAGTGCAGAGAAGTTTTTTGCCCAAGTTCCTTAACTTTTAATGCAGACTGCTTGCAGGAACGCTATGCTGGCTATGACTGGTTTGCATCTTCTGTGTTCCTCATTATGTCAGGGGACAGGGAGAAGACTCTAATGTTTCTTCAGCAATTTTCTCATCTTCTTGTTTCAGCATTTCTCTGGCTACCAAGACTGCATGTATCTGTAAGAATTTAAAAGCTGATTCTTTTTGAAAGACAACTTTGAAAGTTAAAATACATGTTATCAATTTCTCCCTTTTTTAAAATTGCATTAAGTTTTCATTAAAGCCCTCTAACTGAATGCATAACCCTGATTTTTTTTTTTTTCCAGAAAAATACAGATTTGCTCAAATGGTTGTTTAAAAGTAGTGAAATAACAGGTGGACTGATGGTAAAGGCAATGTTACCAAGTTTTAAAGCTGACAAAATAAAAAAATAAACCTCGTTAGTGGCATCAAATTCTGATGCAAGACCTTTTATTATTAGTAGTATTATTACAATGTGAAGTTTATCCTTCTGATTTTCAGTAAAACTCAGTTTTATGGTTAAAAGCACTAACATGTATTTATTAAATTTGAAGAATTATTACTGAATTCTGAATGCCCAAATTCTGAATGCTTTGCAATTTGAAATTATTAGTATTTTGATCAAGTTTGTAGTATATGCAGCATGATTTCCATCTTTGATTGCATGTGGAATCATCTGTGTAAAACAAAAATCTTTCATCTTTCAGTTTGACTTCATACATGTTCACATTGTCTTGAATGTTTTGACCACAAACTATCAAATAACTGTTGTCTTTACTACAGAGTTCTGGGGCATAGGATGCACCATCTAGATTTTGTGCCTCTTCTGTATGCAAACCTCTGTTAAGACGAGTTGGTCTGTCTTTTCACCAGCAATGACTGTATTGCTCCGCTCACAACGCCAAGGCCAGCCCTAAGGCTGTTCCAACACAATTAAATTTTGCTCCATTATGTGAATATAATTGTGCTAAATTCTCAGTGCTGAGAATTTAAGTGTCTTCTTCCATACAAGAGCTAGACAGCATTGCAAAGTTGCTGCATTACTAATGTCCATTCTAAATACCTAAATGATTTCTCTTTCACAATATATCTTGAAGAAACAAAGAGAAAACTAAATAATTAACCTATTTGCATAATTTCCACAATGTAAACTAAAATAAAATGTCAAAACATAAATGAGGAATTATCCAGCCATTAGACTGTAATGCTTTAGGAAGCATTAGACTGCCTTAGGAAGGTGGAAAATTCCCAAGGATGTGCACTAACTTTCTAGCACTAAGCCAAAGATTCATTACCTAGAAACCAAACACCGATACCCAAAGCTTTCCATAATGATAACCTCTGTTTCTTTTGCAGCTCATAACAAAATTTCTCTCATACTCACCACACGTACTGCAAAGAAACATGCACCTAGAAAACAATTTTAAATACCACAGAAGTTTGACTTTTTATCCACCAGTAAAAGGGAAAAAAATCCAACAAAAATGAATTGTTGTTGTTTGTTTAAAATGCAGCAACATTTTCTCCCTCCCTGCTTTGAGAATTAAAGCATAAATGCAATAAAAACTTAAGATTGTAAAGGATTAGTTAAGATATATTTTACAACAGTTTCTAGCTTTGGATTTTCTTTAGTTTAACTACGTGTTTTTAAGATGTCAATGCAGTCTTTTTCCATATTCACTTATTTTATTTCCTATCTCTAAAATAATTGTGATTACTTATCTTACAAGTGTATATATTTTTCTCAGAAAGGTATTTTAAAGTAACACACTTCTGTGATCTATAACTATTTTCCCCAATTTTGTTGTTAATCAGGTGCACCTGCCTATTACCACAGTGGAATCTGGCATCCATCCAGTCTATTTCTGCAGTGCACACTATGTTGAGATGTTGATGAAAGCTGAGTTACCACTTGTCTCCTCTGCCTTTCATATGGCTGGTTTTGCTCCGTCCCAGGTACCTGATGAAATATCAAAGTATCTTCAACTTCTTGATTTAAATCCACAAAATCAAAGATGTTCAGAGTTAAAGTTGGAACTACTGTGGTTTTTCTATATATGTGCATGGTGGTTCTGAAACAGCATAAGAGATTGTTGAATGCATAGTGACTCAGGGCATTTTAACATAAATATTAACTATCTTCTGTAGAGTAATGACAGTATACTGCAACTGATGATCTTCCATTACAAGTTCATGCAGGAAATCTGATAAAAGTGAGATACTAAAAACTCAGATTTATCAATAAAAAAATTAGAGTATCTTATTCTGCAGAATAATTTTCACTGTTTTCAACAGGGAGGAAATGATAAATTTGGGACAGATATGTAACAGAAAGCAGTACAGTTGATATTAGAAAAAATAAATAAATACTTTTTAAGGACTACTATAACTATTACAATTAGGTAAAAAAGATAAACCAAAAACTTTTATAATAATGAAATGTTATTAGAGAAAATTATTCTCTAGTTAGTTTTTATTTAGTTACTTTTTATTTTACGTACTTACTACAGTGCTTTGGAAATACCGAATTCTACATGTATGTACAGAATATTGCTTATACTACAGTCATGATGAAGCATAAACAGCTTCATGCCAATGCATAGGATATCTCACTGGAGTAAGAGAGCTTATTTCCGTTCCAAGGCAAGAAATATATTTTTCATATTATGCCTTCAAAATTCCCTTTTTCCAGGATTTGCAGCATAAGATGGGGGCAGATGCCAGCTTTAAATAGTCAGTTTAGGATTTCTTTTTTTGAGAAGAGTGGCAAATAAGGGATTTTATCTCAGCATAGGAATAATGAGGTGCCTATAATTAGGTAATGAAAAATCATCTTGTATTTCACTGGTCTTGAAGTTTTATGCCTCAACTTCAACAGTTGCCATATATTCAGGTACAATGTATATGAACAGATATGATATGAACAGAAGCAGGGTATGAGGTATAGCAGAACTCGGTGAAACTATTTTGAAGCTGTGCTTTTGTGGGAAGAAAAAGGGATTCTTGGCCTCTTTTGTACCTTTTATTTTTGTAAGTAGGGTAATGGTATAGGAAAAGGGCGTTAGTCTAGAAAAATTAGGAGATAATACTGATAAATTATGACTGAGTATCTACAGCAATTTAATTATAATTTTATTCTCACCTAGATTTGTCTGCAATGGATAACTCAGTGTTTCTGGAATTACATGGACTGGAGTGAGATCTCTCACTACATTGCTACATGTATTTTCCTTGGTCCTGATTATCAAGTATATATGTGCATTTCTGTGTTCAGACATCTAGAGAAAGACATCCTGAAGCACACTGAAGCCCAAGATCTTCAGGTTTTTCTGAAAGTAAGGGTTTCTTTTTGAATTTCTTTCAATTGCCAAAGGGAAGCAAAATTCTCTATACTGAAAATTAATATACTACTTAATCAGAAGCACTTACTGAATTTCACCTATTGATTTTAACTGAGTGAAATAACACTTTAATTTTATTTTCTTCCTGGCAGGAAATTGTGGTTTAGTATTTTCCAGAGAATGGTTTTCCTGCATATTGTCCTGATCACCTCTCCTTGTAAGCAACTTTAAATAGTCGCATTAATTTACTAGGGCATTTAGTTCAATTCCGTATATGTGGCCCTGATCTCATTAAAGTTGATATTCTTCAGAAGGGTGGGTTTATGCAGTGGTCTCCTTCTGAAGCCTGAAGAGATGTGGCACAAAGCTCAGTGATCTTTGTTATTCTGAACACATGTCAATTACTATACAATCAGCCTTTCTTAGATAATAGGCAACTGCACTCTGCCAGTATACTAAAGCAAAAGCACAGCAATCGGGAGAAAAACAGTGAACTCAACTTGGAATCTAAGATTTATTGTTTGTCTTTCTTTCTATTGTGCTGAGTATATATAAGTAAGGCGGGATGATATCGATACATACTCCTTTGGCAAGATCTTGACATATCTGATACCACCTAAACTTTACATTAAAATGAAGTCATCAGTTAACAGCAAGTCATTACAAAAATCAGTGATTTTGATCTCTAGTTTAATTACGGTTATTTTGGATATAACTCCATCCATTTAACAATGGTAGACTTCTAATTCAATTAATTTATTAAATTTGTGGCAGCTCTGGATTTTGAAAGTTGTTTGTGCAATTCTTCTGATACAATTATACTCATCCTTTGGGTTATTTCAATGTCCATACTGTGTGGTTTTATTTTTCTTTTGTCATCCTGTATGGGATTTCTGGTCAATGGCAAGTTGAGTCAACAGTGTGGTATCGCAGCCAACAGGGCCATCCATATCCTGGGTGCATTAGGCACGGCATATTTAACCAGTCAAGGGAAGGGATTTTCTTGCTCTGCTCTGCGTTGGCGTGGCGCCACCTCGAGCACCATGTGCAGTTTGGGGCACCACAGGATAAAAAGGACATAAAAGTATTAGAGTGTGTCCATAGGAGGGTTACGAAGATGATGAAGGGTCTGGAGGGCAAGACATGTGAGGAGTGGCTGAAGTTCCTTGGTTTGTTCAGCCCAGAGCAGAGCAGGCTGAGGGGAGGCCTCATGGCGGCCTGCAGCTCCCTCACGAGGGGTGCAGAGGGGCAGGCACTGAGCTCTGCTCTCTGGGGACAGCAACGGGACCTGAGGGAACGGCATGGAGCTGGGACAGGGGAGGGTCAGGCTGGGGGTTGGGGAAAGGTTCTGCACCCAGAAAGTGGTCACTGGAACAAGCTTCCTAGAGGAGTGGTTGATGCCCCATGCCTGTCAGTGTTCAAGAGGCATAAGGACAATGCCTTCCGTATTGTGCTAACTTTTGGTTATCCCTGAAGTGGTCAGGTGGTTGGAGCTGATGATCTGTGTAGGTCCCTTCCAAGTGAACTATTCTAAATATGAACAATATGTCAGTTCAGTCATTGTTCTTAAAAATGTTTGGTATACAGTCTAATGAGTATATCATCTTGTTTGACCTGGTTTTGGTCAATATAGCTTAAAAACTACTTACTTTTGATGGCATCAGCCAGGATAGTCGATGTAAACTATATAAGAGAATTTGTATGTTATCACCTGTACTATAAACAGACTAGAGATTTGTCATGGTTATGTTATATTAGTGAGAAATACTCCATATTAATTACTGGAGTATTTACAATTCATTGAGAGCATTGCAGAAAGAGTTAACGGCTCTTTCACTGTACTCTTGCTTTTGATAACTCTTAATCTAGCTAAAGAAGAAAAACTCACTCTGTCATTTTATTCAATTTCATTTATAGTATAGGCTTCATGTAGGGTTACCTGGGTTTAACACTTGCAAAGGTATTGGTCAGTTACCATTCTGTTGAAATACAAAAATTTAGGTTTGAGTTTTAGCCTGTAACTTCTCAGCACAGCATTCACAAATGTCAATTGCTGTAGTGGAGCAATTCCCTCAAAAATGGAAGTCTAAACTATTCTAAGAACATAATCCAAGTTTAAAAAACAAAAGCAAACAAAATTAATAATAATAATAAACAACCTTTGAGTATTCATTTTATATTTTCTTAAGTAATGTCACAATTTCATACTAGCGGTGGTCACTTACCATATGAAGAAGTCCTTCTGCCTGTTTTCCTTCAAAGAACTGATAGTAATTTTTCAAGCTTCTAACCTACATTATATTTCATGAAAAAATTATGATTTGATAGCAATACACCTTTGTTGCTATTATCTAATGAGTAGTTACATGTAGCTAGTAAAATTAAAAACAAATATTATTTTTCTTAATACATATATTTAAATTTGCATATAAAGAAATAAGTTGGAGACAACTTTGCTGTGAATTAAGATGATGTTATGCCTTTTTTAAAAAAAGAATATTTTAGTACCTGATGTTGCCTTTTTAAAGCTCACTTTATTTTCATTAAAAATCTTCATATGTCATACTTTCCAAAAATGAGATGAACAACTTCTTTGTGAAAAAACTATTTGTTACCAAGAGTTAAGGAATTACTGGAAGTACCTTCTGGAACAGATATGCTTATTATTTATTTCTAAATTATATTTTAATATGTGTACTTTAAGTACTCAAGCCATGGCAAGCAGAACAAAACTAACTCTATTCAGCAGCCTGGAATTCATCACATTTGAGTCATGCATCCTTTTTCTTATCTAATAAATGTTCTCTGTGTGTATTTGTGCAGGAAGAAGCACTCCATGGATTTCGAGTGAGTGATTATCTAGAATACATGCAAAGCCTGGAGCTGATCTACAGACCAGTGCTACTGAAAGACATGAAGAACATCAGAGTACAGAATACATAGATCAAGCGAGATAGATTTTTTGCAGTTTTGGTTACATTCTTTAAAAGAATACTGATTATTTGATATATCTGCACTAATACAAGTCAGGCTGTGTAAATGTATATACTGTAACATAAATAAGGAGGGTTTTCAGAATATAGTTTTTGCAAAAGGACTTCATTTAAATTGGATGACTTACAGTAATCATATTTTCCCAGACAGGCTATACGCATAGCCTCATTTTTATTTGAGAGAAAGCTTCAGAAATCACCTGTAGATTGTTGGAAGCGTCTTCCTTAAAATGCCTAGAACCTGGTTCCAAATCAATTCATTATTGTCATATCCTTGTAGCACAGTCCTAAAAACTTCATATATTGTAAGGGTCTGACAAAGTGATTTTTCTTAGAAGCAACTGTTAGTATGTATTCATATGCATGAGAACTGAACAAATGAAAAATAAATTCTCTGTACACAGCCGTTCTGAATTTGTGGATAAGGTTGAGAAAAGAGTGATCAAATGCATGCAATGAAACAAGACCGATATTCCTTTTTTTAAAAATAAATAAATAAATAAATCATTTTGTGTCTTAAAACATCTATTTGTAACATATAATTCTGGTATGCATAAGTGAATGAGAAGTCCCTAGGCAGCCTGCTTTTCATATCTCTGAAAACAATCCTCTTTAAAGATTTTGATTTCATTCAAACAGGGAAACACTGATATAAAGTTTCATCTACACTTCCCTTTCATCATCTGTGAAATGCAATAATTAAGGCTGCTAGGATTAAATCTGTGTTTTCTAACACTGGTGCAATGTAGGTAAAAGTTTAAAGTTGTTGAAGTTGATTGAAATTCCCAATTTCAGAGGAAACATGTTTTCTTGAAGAGCATGAAGAGCACTGTATCCCATTTGCTCTGGGACAGATTTTAGATAAGTCAGTGGGCAGCTGAGTGGATTAAACATTCTAACAGCTTTCTTTTCTATATTACATTATATAACTCTTAAATAGATATCTAACCCAGGGAAGGAAAAAAAAAAAAAAGAGTAATTTTCTTTGCAATTACTTAATACTAACTGTAGTGGTCACTGTAGACATTATTTTATGTCTCATTTCTCTTCTTACTCCCTCTACCAGTGAAAAAAATGAATAAAGCACATCCTAGCAATCACTGGCCAAGCTGAAGCTTTCCCTCCTGTCTTGCCTCACACCCTCCACAGTATTTGGAGATTGCTTGTTCTTTTCGCTTTGCAAGAATTTTACTTGCTCAGTTCTGTATTTTGGTGGGCTCCTCTATTTAGGGTTTTCCATTTGTGCTTTCCTCAGTAATAGTAGTGATGTTGCTAAAATACCCATTCATCTGCCAAAGTAGTTTATCATCTATGACATCTGATCATCTATGACTGTGTTCTGAAGGCTGGGTTTGTGTTTTGCAAATATTTTACAAATCTGGTGATCTGACAATTCACTCTGCTGTAGGCATTATGTTTTATAAATACCAGAGGTATTTATAAAATAAATAAGCAGTACCCCTCTATATTGACTCTCTTAAGCTAATATGCAGTGCCACTTTCTACATAGCATTTTATTCTTTCTGGGGTTGTTCAAGGGTAATATCTAGTACAGGGCATCTTCATGCTGGTGGCAGGTTGGAAAGAAGCAGCTAAAGAAAGGCTGTTGAGGAAATTTCTACTATAATGGCTTCCGGAGTGTCCAAATCTGATATACCAGAAGAAGGAGGCGAGAACTATCATAACAGAGCCAGCTGTCATCAAACCAAGTGTTCAGGAGTCATGCTGGGATTCAGAACATGCTGCAGTAGCTGTAGAACTGGCTTTAAATGCTATGTTTACTTCAGAACATCTGGAAATCCTTTTGCACTGGTGCAGGGCACCCATCTGTGGCCATCAAAGTGGCCTGGAATACAGCTAGATGACATTTTCTAGGTTGTCTATTAATAATTTTATATCACAACTGTACGTAAAAAGGCCAAAAGGCCTCTGGATAGATTCTGAAATTGGTGTATAACTGCTCTGAAGAAATTCACTAAGGAATCTTATTCCTGTGTGATGAGTTGGCTCCCAAGCAGTTGATTATGCAATGACTATCATTTTATCTTCCTGTTTAGAGGTGGGAAGCAGTCTGCTTTCAGAAATGTCACAGTAGGCAAGTCTTAGATGAAAGTTGACTTAATTAAATAAACCAATTAATGGCTTTAGTGGAGATTTTGCTTTGAGAGCTTCATCTGTGTAACACCCTCCTATTCCCAAAATATCAAATATATCTTTTTCTTACCAGATATATCCTTTCTTCAGATTTCAGTTTAAGTTTCAGCCAAAATAATTTTTGTACTATTTCAGTCCAGAGTGAAATAACCTGTTCTTACAGCTACCTTTAAAGATTTTTTTTTGTAATTACTTTACCTAGCAAGTTCTGTATCGTACAATATCAGATGTTCAGTACCGTGATATTTTCAATGACATTTCTTCTTTATCAAATGAAACAAGATTCAGCTTCTCTAGCAAAAAAGTTATTTTTCAGCTCTGTTCTTATAGGAGTAAGCCTTTGTTGGGTGAAGTATAAATAGCCAGCATAATTGGTCAACTGTCTGCTATAGCTACTTTAATAATTAAGCGGTATAAATTCCCCAAATGCATGCTAGTTATGTTTACCAGGTGATGTTGCATAGAGTTAAACATTAAGAAGTTCCTTATTCAGTTAAAGAACAAAGGAAAATTTGATATTTTATTGACACCTGCAATAACATTCTCTTTACAGATTAGCTTTTCAAAAATATTTTGATTAGAATTCAGATATAATAAAACATTTCTGAAACACCAACAGAAACGACAAGTGTTGAATTTAGACTTACCAATTTCATTCCACACTTCACCATGAGTTAAACATTACTGTGAAATTCTTGAAAAATCACTTCACTGGATAAAATGAATGTGTGAGCACATACACATTCAAATTATAAAACTACATTAGAACCTGCAGTGAATTTCTGTAATTACATGTAACCTGAGAGTGAGCACTACTGACAAAGGTTTTGCCGCTAATTTCTATTTTCCTGACTGTGCATTTCATAAGTTCATGGGTTTAACTTTTTTTCCTATCTACAAAAAAAATGTTTAAAATATTTTTGGACTGCTGTGAACTATGTTGGCTTACCTACATTGATAAAAGAGGCTGGCAAGTATGAGGAAAGAGTTATGACAAGTTCTTGCCTGACACCAGGGTCAAAGAATGTTAAGACTCACATAAAATCTGTTTGTTTGTTTGTTTGTTTTTTTAACCTTAATAACAGTCTCTTTTTTAAAAAAAATCTGTTTTTAAAAAATAAGACAACTGTGTTGGCTTACTTCCCTAAGCAACCGAATGACAAACAACCAGACTGCAAATAAGCACAAGGAAACGTGGGATTTTAAGAATTCTGCACATTTTTAAAGAGATTTTTGGTAGTTATTAACATACCAATTATAAAGCTATCAATTCCTTTATCAGCAGGAGATATTTGTCCAGAAAATTAGCTCCTGTACTATACATTTGAGTAACCCAGGGACTCTTAACAGCTAAATAGCTGCCGCTTTATATTCCTTATCCCCTAAGAAAGAGAGAGGTACTGCAGAGCTGACCCTTAATACCAATGAGTTTCATCAATATTGCATCACATCAATGCAAAGTACAGCACACAATAATCAGAAAGATGAGTCGAATGCTAATATAAAGCCAACACCCCTAGCACCCAATTGCTCAGGCAAAAGCACTTTTTGCATTGCCTCCAGCAATTAAATCAGTTGCAGTTTCCTCATCTGCAAAACAGCTTACAATAGCATACAGTCCATGTAGGAGCTGGGATGGTACATTAGAGTATTTGTAAAACATTTAATGCATGAAAATGTAAGTGCTAAATATTAGTACCTGACAATAACCTAAAATTCCATTGTGCCGTTATAACAGAAGCAGTACATTGACACACAGTACTAGGAGACTGAAACAGAGTTTGAAGTGATGGTAGTCAGGGAAACTGCTAGCATCTTCTTTGGATCAAGGGTAGTCTAAAAACAAATGACCATTTAAGCAAGAGATATCTGAAGACATGCTGACATGCCATATTACCTCTGATTTGAAGGGTCCCTCACTCACCTTTGCTGGCTTACATATAAATTTATTCTTTCACTCAACTCCCCCTTTCTTTCATGGAAATAATTAAGCATAGGAAAACTATAAAATAAACAGCCAGTAAGTCTACTAAGATGTAATCATTTTCTGTCTAAATCTCTATATATTTCCAGTTTCCTTTTCTCTGCTTTCTATCTCAATCATACTTATCTCTCTCAGTCTTTTTCTCTCTCTTATTTTCAGCTTTCATTGTACCCAATCCCCAACATGCCCCTAGTCTAAGCACTGAAGGATAAAAAGTTTTTCCTTGCTTATATCTAACAAGTTTAATTAAACGTGATTTAAAGGAAACATAAGGGGTGGGGTGGACACAGAAGAATATGACACAAACACTACCAACAACAAAAACGAACAAACAAACACACAACCAACCAAAGAAGCACAGGAAACACTAAATAAAACCCCAACTTGGATATGTTAAGAAAAAATTGTAAGCAGACACATCCCTCCAGCTATGCAGTCCTGACCCACACTCCTACTGCAGGGAGCTACCAAACCACTGCTGCCTCCACCTCTCTCTCTCATCCCATCCCCCCAAGCATCAGCTGGGATGCCAAGCTGATTAGAAACATCTGTATTATTCCTAAGAGAAAAGGAGTTTCCAGACCACCTCCTTCATCAGCCTCTGCAGCATGACTCAGCCATTTGGGAAGAAATCAGTAATATACAGAAATAATTTTCACCTGGTCATGTCTACCATGTTGCCTTTTGCCAAGTTATTTTACTTCTGAAAGCTTTGCGTATCTATCATCTACAAAAATGCAAGTAATGTTTACTCGTTTTTGTTCAAATGACAGATCTGCAGGTGGAAGCAGTTAGCTTCCTCATTACTGTATATTGTGTTCATGCAACAAGAGGAATACCAGAGCTGAAAGCAAATAGAAGAAAAACAAAAACAAAAACCAACCAACCAAACAAAAAAACTTCACGTTTAGTAGGAAAAAAACCACTAGATCAAAGTTAAGACAGTTATACTCTAAACTGTTTCTGATTGTTTTAAGATGTCCAACTCAAACAGCCATTAGGTCAACAGAGAAACAGTCTCAGCTCCTCTAAACCATTTTGTGTTGTCTCAACACTGTCCAGCTAATCTCCACAGTGTTATTCCATTGATTTCAAAAGAAGCTAACTTTGGTTAACATCAAACTCAGATTACAGCAGGTCCTTCACTCACTAGTGAGTTAGAGCAGCAGCTCCCAAGGAAGACTGTCAGGGCATCTGCCAACAAGGTGTGTTATTGGACATCATTACTGAAAAAAAAACAACTGCTAAGAGCAATTATGTCAAGCTACAGCTCCTAAGGAAACAGGCTTATCCTTATCTACATGCCCAGAGCAAGGACACATAGCAGGACTTGCACCACCAGCAGGAAATGCAACCTACCCAGTGATATGGGAGAAATGTTAACAC